CCGAGCTGGGACTTGATTGCACATGAAACAGAGATGATGACACTTCCCAGAGTTTCGGCCGTATTTCTCTTGGTGCGACTACAGAGGCTTGTCAGCTCGGTCTAAAAATGAAGCATCGTGACAATATTTAAAATTAGCTTAAAATGCTCCGAGTTAATCCACATTTATCCCCCAAAGTAGCACAGAGACTCCGGCACACTGACTGTTAAAATCACTGCAAGGTGACAGAAACATGGTAACAAGGATTTTAAATGATTACTAAAAATCATAACGTGGAATGTAAACAGCAGTGCTCGGCTTGGTTTAAGCTGCTTTCACACGTGCGCTCCAGCCGGGATGATGGCAGAAGCAAGCCTTTCAGAAAATGTTTTAAACCCTTGTTTTTTAAGGAAATATATTTTAAACAGTTTTATGTTGCAGTGCCCAATCGAAGTTAATTCAGACAAGACTTAAAAATGTCCACACCAGCATATATCACATCCCCTTCACTGCATTAGGTGTGTATCATGGACTGTGGTTCCCTCTTTGGGTTTTAAACTTCTTATTCTTGATGTTGTTCTCTATTATTATTGAAATGTACTTGACTGGTGTACATTCAGTTTATAAGAAGCACATTTTCCTTAATTATTAATTATTTGTATAAATAAACCTCTAATTTAATTTATTTCAGCTGCATTTTACTCGAAATTATTGCTTCATGTTTACTGAAGGTGAAAAATTGCTTCTTTCAGTGCAGACCTGATTACTGCCAGACCCACTGAATCAATAAATCACTTAAATAGAACCTGTTTTGACAAAGTGAAGCACGCTAAAAGATCTCAAAAGGCAACACATCACGCCACGATCAAAAGAACCAGCTGAGAAACAAAGTCGGTGACATCTATCAATCTGGAAAGAGCTACACAGCCATTTCTAAATCTTTGGGACTCCAGAGAACCACAGCGAGAGCAGTTATCCACACAATGGTGGAAACTTGGAACACTGCTGAACCTTCCCAGGAGCGACCGGCCTTCCAAAATCAGAAACACTTGACTGCAGTTCTCAGTGCCAACGGTGGTGCAACCTGTTATAAGGAGCAGTTACTTTTTCACACAGTGCAGGGGGATTCAGTTGTGTTTTTTCTTAATAAGTGAAAATAAATGGAATTTATTCAGGTTATCATTGTCTAACATTAGATTAGAATTTGTTTGATGACCTGAGAGTATGACAAATACTAAACAATCAGGAAGGCGGCATACACAAATCATACATTAAAGCTTATGAGAAATCGTTATTCTATATATACACACTGTGATGGACCGAGCAGTGAAGGAAACTTAGACACAGGCTAAAGTCCAAAACAATGATTTTTTATTTAACCCAAAAAACATAATTGGTTAACTCATGCCAAAAGAATCAAAATCTTGGGCCCATAAAAGAGGTCAAAACAACAAAACTCTACTCAAAGTTGACAACACAACTGATAACACACACAAACTGACCTAACTTAATGAGACAAAGGGGGAACTTAAATAGTGGCTGATCAGCCCACAAAAACAGGAAAAGGGGTAAAACACACAAAACCTAACTAAACCAAGCATAATGAACTCCAATTCCCCCCCATGGTCCTGAGTTATGGCATGAACCAATTTGTAGTCTTCCTTTAAAGCTCGCTCCGCCCCTTTTCCACCTCTTGGCTCCATAATCAAGGGACTGGAACAGCTGCAACTAAGGAAACTCAGAAAACAAAAGATTAATCCTACATAACAGTGTAAACTAAAATGTGCGCACTTATTTTAGAATGCAGCGTTATGTGGATATGTGAATTAACTCTAAACCAAAACCAGTTGTTTATTGTCCTGTAAATAAATTCCTATATTTAAAGAAAGAAATGTGAATGCAATGTTACTTATAAGCCTCTACACTAACATGGTGGGTATTACCACTGTGTGGCTGTAAGTGCAGCCATCACACACACATACAAACATTGTAGTGGTCAAGTGTTGGTCAAGTTACTTGAAAAAAGTAATTAGTTACTAAAAACTGATTACTTCTCCCAAAAAAGTAATTTAATTATTACTTATTTTCAAAAGTATTTAGTTACTTAGTTACTTTTTAAAAACATGATACACAACCCGAATACGTAATAAAGCAACAGACCTTTCAGCCCAATTCTATTTTTTCTGCATAATCCATCATTTAAAATGTAATCAAATGGAAAAGTCTCTTTTTAAAACTTGTTCTATTAGTTTTAATCTTTTAACTTTATGCATCAAGCAAAAATTAAATTATATGCAACATTCTTTGACTGGAAGAAATTGTTTAACATTTCAACGTATTTCCTGCAGATTCCAACACATAAAATAAAACAGTGTTTTGTGTTTACACTCAGTCTTTCAAATAGATGCGAGTAAAATAAATAAAATCAAAGACTCAGCAGCACTGAGTCCTGCCGCTCTTAAATCTATTGTCACCTGTTTAGCAGGAGTGGGACGGGTGGAGGTTTGCCCGGTGCAGCAGCCGTCATGTCAGTGGGGGGATCCGGGGGTTTCTCTGTGAATGTCACATTCCCGTGTTTGCTCAGATTTGAAGTTAAATTTTTCGCTGTAGAAAGACGTTTTCTTCCCACGCACAGCGGACACTAATGTTTTTGTCACTTTTTACGGAATCAAACTCAAAGTAATGTCAGTACTTCCACGCTGTAAACGCTGCATGGTCGTACTCTCCCCTGCACTCCATATTATCCACTGGTGTTCTGCACGTTGTCATGAGACACTCACAAACAAAATCATGACGGTAACGCAGCATGCTTACGGGAAAGTAACAGTAATCTAATTACTTTTGTTGCAATAGTGATCCCTTACATTACTTGTTAGTTGAAAAAGTAATCAGATTACAGTAAGCCGATCCTTGTAACTACACAGCACTTTAGCTGTTACTTGTAACGCGTTACTGCCCATCTCTGCCTGTGATTAAGTTGAACTTTTGCTGCCACTGAAACCTCAGTGTTCACACACATTTGCCTCCATCCTGGATAACTCCTGCGCACATGTCAGTGTAAAGGTAATATCTGAAAATGAAACTTTGCCATGATGTTGGTAACAAACGTAATAAAAACTGTTCTTTTCAAGCAGCTTATGCACACAAAGGTTACAGTTTCTCCATCACTGTGCATGTGCATTTCGAGATTCATTTACGCGCTAATTAAAGATGAATTTCTTTATATTTTACTATATGGTAGTAATATTAGTAAAACGCATGACACCGACAGATCTAAATATTGTTAGGCTGTGGAGGTTTGTGTGAACAGAGTGGTCTGTATTATTATTTGAGTCCAACCCTGCTTTGGTGCTTTGATCAGCTCTAATCCCCGTCATATTAAACACATTCACATATGGAGAGCATGCTTGTAGGGTTACCATGATATGCAACACAGAACTGTGGAACAACACAGAAATGTTCCGTGTAAGTTAGCAGATACACACTTGAGAAAAAGCACTGCAGCCTGAAACTCCAGAGAAATATGTATTATTTGATTTGATTGAGACACCTTTGCACCACATTGATTTAATTAAAGATTTATTGAACTAGATTATTATTTGCCGCAATAACAACTGAGTTACGCAGTTTGGCTAAAGTCCTGTGTAGTTAGTGCCGTGTGAATCACAGTGATTACAACTCAGCCTGAGGAGGGAGGAAGAACATGTGAACCAAAAGTCAGGTCAACGGTTTTATAGTTGAGAAAAATTAGACATGAGGCCAGGGCGAGCCAATAGAAAACAAAGAAGCATTTCATAATTTAATGAGAACCCTATTACAAAAATATGTTTAACACTGGAGAGCAAAGTTGCTGTTGACACATTTTACTGTGAGGCTAAAGCAAATGTTAACTTGTTGGTGGAGGAAAGGTTAGATTGTTTCTTCCAAGTAACAAGTTTGAGATGAAACAAGCACAGTAAACTCTGCATGCCCATTTGAAAGAGAACTCGCTCAGGCAATAAAATCATTTCTGTTCAGTCTCTCCTTTGTGTCAGACTGTGAAAAAACAAAAGTCGTTTTTCAGCATTTGTAAATTTTGCACTCACTTTCCTTGGACGTCTTCGTGGGCCAGCCTGAAACCTTTTCATATAAATATGAGTCCATTTTGCTGCTCTGTCCTGTACGATGGATTATTAAACAGAACAGTGATTCAACCTGATGAAAGCTTTTACATTTAATGTTCTAAACACACCAACGGTCTGGTGGGTGTTTCTGCTCTGTCAGACAGGAAGTGATGCCTTCTCTTCTGCTTTGTTTGGATTCAATAAAAGGAAAAAAATCAGTCCTGACCAAGGAAACATGCATTACCTTTATGGCTGGTAGAAAGAAAAAGAGTGAAGGAAGAGGACAGATTAAAGAGATTTTAATTTGACAATAAGAATAGAAATGTGAAGGACAATGTGTGACATGACAACAATCGAAAATGATTTAAGGGTTAGACTGTTTTTATTTCTTAGAATACACAGAGACAAAAAAACAGAAAAGGAAAAACAACCTCAGAAACAAAAAAGGACTTAAAATGACACAAAACAACAAAGATGTGAAAACAACCACAGACACAGTGATCACAAAATGTCCACAAAGAGACAAAAAAAAATGCAAAACCACTTGAAACTGATGTAAAACAAACGCAAAGACAAAGAAAGGGACCTGAAAAAGACACAAAAAAGTCAGACATCAAACAACCACACACTGACCAAAGTTAGCTGCCAAATAAAGACGTGCAGATGGATGAAATAATGTGATAAGAAGTTAAAATGAGTGAAACAATTACAAAAAAAGACGAGTACAAACATATAAGCTCAAAAAGCAAATGCAAAACAGATGAGCAAAAGAAAACTACCAGATTTAGTCTCAGAATGACCCACACACCAAAATGAGACAAAAATTGACCAAAAAAAGACAAAAAAGGACGTCATAGACAAACAAAAAGACCACAATGATGTACAAAACACATAAAAAGCCATAAAGAAACACAAAACTAGACACAGAAGATGCACAAAAACAAACACAACGGTATGCAAAATGAGGCAAGATGCATTTATGGAAACACAGAGCCGCAAACCACATGGTGGGATGATTAGTGGGGTTTTGTGGGGTTTTTCCGTCTGCGCTGCTCTTCTGGACGGAGTCACGAATCCAGTCACGATTTTAGTCAATCTAAAGACGATGTCACTTTGACTGAAGGATGACATAAAGGACAATGACGAGCTCCATTCAAAAGAAATGTGTCTCATAGTTGCTCTGATGAGCAAATCCTGCATAGTCCACAATCCTAAAGCCTCTCACAGGAAGGGACTGGAAGCCACCTCCACGTCCCTGCTGCAGAGTTCAGCCCGGTGCCAATGCTGGCTCCGTGCATGTTAAAGATCTGTGACCACGGCCCATCAGCAAAGTTTGTTTTCTCGCATAATAAATAGAAGCGACAGGATTTCCCTTTTGTCTGAGTTGCTTTCTCAGGAGGATCTCTTACTGTTCAAACACCATCAGATAACCAACATTTATTAATCTGCTTTGTTTTCAGAAGACTTTGGAAATCGCTGGAGGACGAGGAACCAGCGGAGCCAATTACGCTGGTTTATGTGTCGGTATGAAACGCACCCAGACCTCGGAGAGCCCGAGCGTCGAGTCCAGTCACTCCTCTTCTTTCCACTCCTCTCTCGCCATCTTTCCCTTCTGAGGTTTTCATCATGTTTTATTTACACGTCCGACCAAAAGAATCCTATACACAGGAAATGCTTGTGATTGTGAGTTCCTCTCCTCAAATGTGGGCAAGTTTATTTATTTCAAGCAAACATTCCTGATTTGCACAGCGCTAGCCTCAAACAGTGCAGCTTTTTCAGCGGAGTGTGAGTCTGAGCGGCGGGCCTATATTTAGACATGGCTGCTCTGTGTTTGTAATGATGCTGTCAGCACAGCGCTCTGATTTCCTGCAGGTGTCATTCTACAACAAGTCGCTCACAGACCCTCGTTTGGGACTTTCAGCACCATCAGACCTTAAAAGGCTTCTCATTAGCTATTTATGACTCCCGGTCCAGAGCAAAAGCAGGGTTACCATTGTTATTCAGCTGTTAGCATTAGCGGTGAAACCAGGAAACACAAGCTGTGTCTGTACGTTAAACTCGTCACTTCTTCCAGGTAAGCTGAGCCCTGCTGAGAAGTAAATCCAGAAAATACGGCCTCTGTCACCGCCGTGACGTTCCTTCCACCCACGCCACGCGCAGCTGTTGTAGGTAGAAGTTATCAGCTAATGCTAGCAAGCTTGGTTATCAAGCTACGATCATAAACTGTTTGGGGGCAACACGCGGACACAAATACCTGCACCTCACAGCAAGTCATTTTATTTGTCAGATAATTCAGTAAAATGGTCCAAAAGGCTCCGGCAGCACAAACACCTCCAGGACATTCAGTTCAGTGACTGGATGTAGTTTTTAATCCAGGCTGTAAATGTCTTTATTTCTGCTGTAAACATGAACATGTTACACGGGAGTTGCCTCATTTTTGAGGAGACGGCCTCAAGTGGACATTCGAGGAACTGCAGTCTTTGGCACTTACATGACCTTGTTGCTCCTGCAGGTATGAAGCCAGTGACTACAGTCAGTGCACAGTGAAGAAGACTTATGAGGTGATATTTCACAATAATTCTAACCTTATTTTAAATCTTAGATGTTTGCACGTGAGGTGTTTTATTTTTTAAAGGCGGGAATGCTAAATACACTTTCTTTCAGTCTAACATGGATAAAATCAGGCTGTAAGGATGAGAGATACTTGAGAAAAGTTTGAAATACAAGAAGTCTCTGTCTCCATAATTTAAAACGCTTCAGCAATAAATGACACTTTTGTTTCAAAAGCTGTACATTTTCAAGTGAATAGCAACCTTATAAAAACGAGTGCGTCAGCCACACGTCACCCAGCAGACAGGAAGCAGGACAAATGCTGCGTCCAGCGTAGTCACTGTCGTACCACCTCTGAGTGCGCTACGGACTGAAGCGTTTAGAAAATCAAGCAGGTTGCATTTTAATAACAGATTGCAATCATGGCAGAAATGTGTTCGTTTCCAAACACTTTCCAGGATGTGTTATATTAGAACCCCCCCCCCTCCCCCCAACCACACACACACCAGAAAACGCCCTTCATTTTCTGTCATTAAAAAAAAAATACAGATCAAAGTTATTATGTAACAAATGGCAGGATTGCAAAGGACTGATGTCCTTATTATCTCCACAGAGGGGTGGAGATAATAGGGCTGATTCTTCTTCTATAAGTTTACTCAAAAAGTTCTTGATGCATTTGAACATCTGAAGCTGCTTTTGGAGAAATGTAGAAGTGATTAACTTTTGTTGTTGATCCAGATCCAGATTTAATTATTTTTGGAAGAATTCCTCCATTGAGAGAGCGCTCAAAATTTCTTGAATTGAAAGAAGAGAAAGTGGAAGAAATCATTTTGATATTCCCGAGGAAACAGTCACACTCCAGCCCGGATCTGTCTGGATGCAAGGAGGGAATTTACAGCCTGATGCAGACTGCTCCAGCTTGTGTATTAATGGAGCAAACAGACATAAGATAGATTGCAACAAATGATGATAATTGTTTTGTATAAATATAGAATCAAATAAACATGAGGCTGTGTGTTACATAATTCTATATGAACACATGAGCATGAATAAAATATCTGGAGTGTGTTGAGCTGTTAGTTATGTGAATGCTTCAGCGTGTCGTTGCGTTTACCTGCATGGAGTCATAAGTCATAAGTATTTCACACTTTTATGATTTAGTATTAATATTTCAGCTTTATGATGAGAATTTGTTTTATTCATTTGCCTTTCGTGCTGTTTGAAGTTTTAGCTTTAACTCCTAATGTAATAATATAAATGAGAAAAAGGTACCAGAATTAAAAAAATACAAAAAGTTAAAACATGAGAAAATTATTAGATAGGATTATTACTGTTTTTGGTGTTTGGTTCCTTTGAGATTTAGATTTTTTTTATTATTATTTACTGTGATTTTTACAAACTCATTCTTGATGTGGAAACAGTTGAACCAAAAAACGTGTTTCTAAATGTTGTTTGCAGGTGACCTCAGACATGGTTAAAGGCCCAAGGAAAGCTGATAAATGGACGTTGAGTTTAGGTCATGGTCAGCGCTGCAAACAATAAAAACATGCCGTTTCTTTTTGTAGTCCTAGATTTGGTGAATTTGACAGCTGCAGCTGAAACTCTGGATTATGTGAACTTCAGTAAAACAAAGATTTTCCCCATTTTCACTGACGGATGGTTCCTGGTTTTCTGGGTGTTGATTAAAACACACTTTGAAACACAAACTTAAACAAATAAGCTCAGCAGAAAATAAAGCACTTAAGGTCTATGTATTTAACTTAAACTGTGCTAATATATCATCATCATTAGGCTGAAATCATAAGTAAACTGTGGACTTTTGGGGGCGCCTGGGGGACCTGGTGTTGCCACCTTGCACAGGGTGTACCATATGACTGATTGCACTGATTTAAGCAGGTATTTATGAGAACACCTTCACACACAGATCTGTGTGGCTGTGCCAAATATATCCACACGTACAGTATGTATAAATACTGGTAAATTACTTTAAGCTTCACCTTCACAAGGTCACCATCCAGCCTGGACTGCTCTATAATCAAACGCTTTGTGGGCAAAAGCTGAAACCGCTGGTTCCAAACATAAAATAATCTAAATGCTTCAGACTCTGGATGAATGCTGGATGTGGAAGAAACTATATGGATGTGTCTCTTACTGATCATAATCATGATCTACAATTGTTTTCTGTGCTCGGCACTGTTCATATGAATGCTTCCTCCTCCACCTGGAAGCCTTTTGATTCCTTTTATCACATCGCACTGCATTTCATTGCGGTCGATAATCTTTTCTCACCGTATGAAATGCAAAGGTGGGCCGGTCCTCCTCAACAAATACCAGGGAGCAGCACAGCATGATGTTTATTTATAAAGCTGCCCTCCAAAAACTGCCCGGCTGCCTCTGCTCTCTCATTCCACTGAAATAAAGCGCCATCACCGCACATTCTTACTGCCGCTCAACTTGGAAAAACATGATTTAAATACTTTGCTGTGTTCACAAATATGAAGTTACATTCTCTGATTTCCCCAGAACATTTTCATGTTTTTTTATTAATTGAATTTTTATGAATTCTGTAAATGCACAATGTATCTCTCTGTTCTCAAACGGTACATGTTTTTGATTTCAATGAAACTTTGTTATAATTTTTTAGATAAGCATCAACTTTTAATAATGGAATGTCTGTCTGTCCTTAAACTACAAGGCAGTGTCCAGTTTTTCAGTTCTGTTGCTGCTGATGTTTCCGTTGGTGAAAGCCCTGATATGGGTTTTATTTCATTTTTTTAAACTCATAAACTTTAATGAAAATGAACAAAACCAAACACGTCGTCTCATTCTTAAAGCAAAACGGGGGGAAAACAAAGGTGCAGTTTTCCAGCAGTGTTTCTATTTATTCTTTCGTACCACAATTTAAAATAAATCACGTCAACATTTTTGGCTAAATTTTATTTTGCAGTAAAATAAATGTTCAAATCCAGAGCAGAGTGGAAAATAATAATAGGTTTTGGTTACATCATTACTGAGTACTAAACTTCATATTGTACGGCATCTTCAGGCCCAGTCACGACAATTAAAATTAAATTACGCACTGTTCTTGCTTTATGGGGTTTCACCATCATGAGTAAAGTGTAGCATATGAGAATATCCGTAAATATTTACATGGCAGGGACGACATCCTTTTATTGTACTGAGCATTATGTTTTGTGCAGCCATAATTTCTGAGGAGCAACAGATTTGGGAGGAAAAAACTGAATATAATCACAAACCTGAAAATGACGCATGCGTAAAGATGGAGATAAAAGTCTTCTTGACGCTCTTTGTTCATTTTTGTCCGAACTTTAAAGTAGATGATGGCAGAGATCCTGTTTCGTGTCTCTGCGTGTAAAGCTAAACACAGACTTTACACTTTTACGCGTTTGGTGCGTAAAACGCACGAAAGTCTGCCGGTCATTTAAAATGCAGCACTTTGTCAGGGTAAGACAGCGACAGGTAAGAGCAGAAAGGGAATCCCATCTGGTACAACTGATGCTGACGCGCGCCGAGGACCACGGACGCGCTGAAAGCCGGATTTTGGCCCTGTGCGCATGTCTCGGCCGGCAGGCCGAGGATGCTGCCTCGTATTTCGTCCTCGCTCTTCGCTAAAATACTGTCTATGCTGAAACCTTTGGATTTGTCCCTGCTCAGTGTGTTCCCCCTCGGCCTGTCTGGCGCAGGTGCGGCCAAGTTTGTGTTTCCTGCGCAGCTGACGGTGCAGAGAGGACCTCTTTCTCTTTGGCTGAACGCAGACTTCCTCTCCTCTGATTTCGGGTCAAGGGTCTCGTCTGGGAGATGAGCGTCGTCCGTCCACAGCGCAGCGCGTTTCGGCGCGGAGCACGGCTCGGGCTGTGGGGCGTGAAGCTCCCTGCCGGCGGCCTGACTGTTGTGTTGGTTGGGGGGCACTTTAAGTCTCTGCGTGGAGGGGCTCTGCGGCTGTTCCGCGTGATTCAACTCGCCAAGAATATGTTTCCTGTCTGCGGGCGTCCTCGCCTCCTCCTCCTCATCCCTCGCGGGTGCTTCTGTTACCCTCGAGCCAGCTTGATGTTTCGGGGAGGTCTGAGGGTCCCTAGGTTGCCCGGGGGCCTTGGTGCGCTTGTGCCCGGTGGCCTTGGAGTCCAGAGCCTCCTGCTGACACTTCGCCTTCCTCTTCCTCCGGCGGTAGTTGCCGTTTTCAAACATATCCAGACACTTGGTGTCCAACGTCCAGTAGCTGCCTTTGCCCGGCCGGCCCTTCTCCCGGGGCACCTTGATGAAGCAGTCGTTCAGGGACAAGTTGTGACGGATCGAGTTCTGCCAGCCCTGTTTGTTGTCGTGATAGAAGGGGAATCGGTCCATGATGAACTGGTAGATGCCGCTGAGCGTGGCGCGCTGCTCCGGTGCGCTCTTGATGGCCATGGCGATGAGCGCGATGTAGCTGTAGGGCGGCTTCTGCGGGGGCTCCTGGCGGGCCGGCACGAAGCTCAGGGCGGTGGGCACGACCCCGCCGCTGTCGCCTCCGTACAGGTAGATCAGCGGGGGGGCGGACAGGCTCAAAGCCGAAGATGTCACACCGAGCGACGGCAGACGGCCGTGGTAGAGAGTCATGACGGCGGGAAAGCCGCAGTGTGTCCCGGGGAAAGTTGAGCCTGCTCCCGCAGCTCCACTCCTCCACTGACTGACTCTCCAGCCTCATGAGGGCCCCAGAAAAATGTTAATAATTGTTGTACGTTTGCTGTGTTATGTTGACTTTGCACTGGGAAATAAATTGTCCATCATAAACAGTCGGTGCTGCTCTTAGCCCACCCACATTAATTAAAATTTCATTGCGCTGAAACTCCCTCATGTCCCCCTCCTCTGCCCAACAACCAATGAGGTGCCGGGTTATTCCCTCATCTGTTTATAGAATTAGTCGCTTGATAAGTCTGCCCACCCAGGTTGAATCAAGCTGTGTTTATTTGGAAAAATTTCCGGGCACCCAATACATAAACGCACTGATGTGCTGTTTGAAATATCACGTCCACCCCTGACGCTCAGAGTTGCTCACACAGAGAGAACAAGCAAACATTGCCGAGTCCTTTCTGGGAGTTGCTGTGAGTTCACTCGAATGAAAACAAAGTGTATAAAAGGGAAAATAACTTAAACAATTTCTCTTCACTCGTGTCAGACTCTCGTTTTGCTTCCAGTCCAACACAAATGACGCAGAGGGAACATTTCTGCAGCAAACTTCATTTCAAAGAATATCTGAGCGCATAAATCAGGCATGGCTGACAATATGATAATAATGATCAGCTTAACAGGAATATAAGTACTTCAGGCTGACAGCTGCTCTAAAACGATTGACTGGGTTTTGTAGGTGGTGGCGTTAAAAAAAACAATTATATGATTAGCTCAAAATTTGCAACTTATTGCGATCAGCTAATGTTGAGATTATTTTTATTAAAACATTTCTTGATACCAAGCAGTAAGGTACAAAGACAATATTTTTTTTTTTTTATTGATTGAAAGATGACACAAGAAAATGGGGGCATGCTTACACAAACAATGCATAAACCTAGGGACCTTAATATATTACAAGATTAACTTATTACACAAATATACAAATCGCATTTCCCAAAAAGAAAAGGAACAAATTATTTTAATTTGCCTTTGTAATGTGTTCAGTTTTCAGTCCACTGTCGATTCTTCCAGTTCATGTCTGTCTTGTATAAAACCAGGGGCGATTCTAGAACCAAACTTTTAGGGGGCTCAGCCCCGGTCATATTGTCATGCATGCAGTGCCTCGCAGTTAATATAAAGAGCACATGATGATTGCAAATGTAGTCAGCTTTTTTCACATTTGCAAGCTTCATTTCAACGAATCGTGACAATGTTACCATCAAAACAAGCGTAATTACTTAGATCTGGGTCTAAAACTAATTCAGTATGAATAAGCGCACATTTCAAAATTATACACCAGTTTTATCTCGTACCCTTTATTTACCAAACCGGAGACA